TTTTTGAAGTTTTTTAAAATACCCGACCGGACTACTAAAACCGGCCAACGTTCGCCGAATTGGCCAATACCCGTTCCGAGTTGGACCGGCTGAGTTTGCGAACACTGCTGCATAACCATGCTGGTGACACCCAAACCGGAAATTTTCCACCCTCCACATGCATGCATTGTGAGCATGCATGTAACATATTTGCATTTGTTTTTCTTTGTTTGTGGGGGAAGAGAGAAAAAAGAAAAAAAGGTATCTTTTTCTGTAAGAGCCTAGGCTCTAAACAATCAACTCCAAAGCTACCAATTTATGCATGTAAAATTTTATAAAGGGAGCGGTTTGTATAGAGCCTAGGCTCAAAACAATCAACTTAGAATCTACCTTCAAATAGTGTCTAGCAATGAGGTTTTAATACTGAAAATATTTGTGATAGCCTTAAAATATTTCATCTTTATTTATAAAGTTTAAAGCTTCAAAAATAGTGTAGATCGATAGATCTATAAAAACTTGAAAATCTTGAAACTTGATGGTCCAAAAATCCATTATGAAATAGATTATTTTCAGAACTTGAAATCTATTTTTTTCACATGTCCATGCATCTTGATATCGAGATGATCAATTTGAGGATATTTGAGCATCAAAAACAACCTCTTCTAGTGAATTTTTTTGAGGTAGGCTCTAACTTTTCACTTTTATAAATAGAAAAAGTTTATATAGAGCCAAGGCTCTAAACAATCAAATTAGAGCCCATTTCAAAAATTTCATTAGAAGAGATTGTTTTGATGCTCAAATATCCTTAAATTGATCATCTCGACATCAAAATACATGGACAAGAGAAAAACATGGATTTAAAGTTTTGAAAATACTGCATCTTTTAACGCATTTTTGGACCGTCAATTTTCAAGATTTTCAAGTTTTCATAGATGTGCTCGATCAACACTATTTTTTAAACTTTTAAATTTTATAATTAAAGATAAAAATATATTATACATCTATAAAGATTTTTAGTACTAAAACCACAATTCTCGACACTATTTGAAGGTGTGCTTTGCTTTGATTGTTTAGAGCCTCTAAACAAACGGTACCCTTTATGAATACGCCTTTTTGCATTATCTGTTTAGTCATTAGTGTGGTATCTTATGCTTATTCGATTGAAATAGCCCTAATTTATGTCAGAAATTTTGACAAAGCCCACACTTGCTGGAGATGCAACATGCTCTGCAACTCTCCCATGCCAAAGCTACGAAGATATATGTATTTATGCCTCTCACACACATATACACACAAACACGCTCGTATATACGGGTACATACACTAAGAAGTCTCTCTCTCACACATAAACACATATTCACATCATGTACCACGAAAGATTAGTCTTCTGTGTGGAAGAACAGAGCACCTCTGTAGTTGATATATTAAGCTGAAAGATTATATGCTCCCATGGGAGATGTCTGGCATTCACTTCCGTGGTTATAAAGCCTAATTTTTTGAGATATAAGCTCCTCGACCTCGACCTAGAGACGAACCTCAAAATAAAAATTAAAAATAACTAATGATGATAAATAATAAGGCACATCACATGCATCTCATAAGTGCTTGAAATTTTTTTTTCATCAGATTGAAGCAGGGCTATTTAACTTTCAGACGGTTGAATCTTATAATCAAAGAACTCAAAATACTTATTTTCTTATTTCTTAAAAAAAAAAGGGAAAAATAAAAACCCATAGGGTGATTCTAAAGTGAAATATCAATAATAAACCGAAGAAGTCCTCCTAAGTAGTTATTTTGCTTAGTAAATAGTGCAGTCCTCAGGGAGTAGTTGAATCTTATCATCAAAGGTGTTTTATATTTGGGTTTGGTTTCTACCAATATCAACTTTAAATGTGTTTTATATTTGGGTGCGGTTTGTAGGCTCTAAACAATTAAATTAAATTAGACTCCAGGCTCCAAAAAATTAAATTAGAGCCTACTACACGATCGCGTGCGCCCCCACCAATATCAAATTTAAATGTGTTTTATATTTGAATGCGGCAAACCTACTCAAATTAGAGCCAGCGGCCCGATCAATATCAAATTTAAATGTGTTTTATATTTGGACCAATATCAAATTTAAATGTGTTTTATATTTGGGTGCGGTTTGTATAGAGCCTAGGCTCTAAACAATTAAATTAGAGCCTACCTTCAAAGATCTTTGAATATCTTGAAAAAAAATCAAATTAGAGCCTACCTTAAAATATCTTTGAATATCTTGAAAATATAGTGTCGAGGAATGTGGTTTCAAGTTTCAAGATCTTTGAATATCTTGAAAATTGACGCTCAAAAGATGCATTTCAAAATACACTACAAAATACATTATTTCCAAAACTTGAAATCTATTTTTATTTTTTTCTCTTGTCGGATATTTTGCCATGAAAACAAATCCCTTCTATTGAAATTTATGAGCTAGGCTCTAATTTGATTGTTTAGAGCCTCGGCCCTATATAAACTTCTAACTTTTGCATAATTTATTCTAACTTTTTAATAAAATAATTTGAAATAGCTAAAAGTGAATATTTTGATAGGTCTGTAACCCTACCAAAATAAGTAGTGTCTTGCCTCTGAAAACCCATAAAAAATTGCAATTCTTGTGTTGGAAAAATCTTCAAATCACTTATGTCAGTCTAGACCATTATGGTTTTTAAATTTAAGAATGGATAATTTTGGTTTTGACCATTATGGTTGTAAAAAAATTTAGCATGGCCTTAAAAAATAAGTATTAATAGATGAACAAGATTTGTACTCTTTTTTTTTTAGGTTTAAATTTCATAGTCAGTGTTGGAAATTTATTTTAGAACTATCATAGAGATTTTTGATATCCAAAGTACTTTCTAGATGAAGATTCAAGGTGGGGTTTTACTTTGTTTTTATAATGCCTAGGCTTGATATAAATTGCATCTATAATTAAATTGTGCTTGAGAAATATAATAGTTCCTAATTTGGCACTTATTGGTAAGCATGATAGCCTGATTTTAGGAAAAGAGCTGGGGTTTAATTCGTCAGCGCTTGATAATTTGCAACGCTACATCCTAAGCTCAATTCCTACCAAAGGTAGAGATCCTCTCCCGACTTACTCACCCCAGAAAGATAGCTGATTTTGTCTCAATGATTTTATTTCTTAATTGCAATGCGAATATTTCGTCAAAGAATTTTTTTTTTTTTTTTTGTCTCATCAGAGGATATCCCTTTGTACTGAATACACCTTTGTATTAGCACATCTTATTTTTATATTAATAAATAAAAATGGGCAAGCCACCAACTTTTCCCATTGATCTAGCAAAAAAAAGGAAAAAAGGAAGAAACAAAACTAATTTGATTCTTCATTAAAATTTTGAAACTCTTAAAGAAATAAGGAAAAAATTTATATAAGGTTGACATCTTATACTGGGCACCCTCAAATCGATCATCTCGACCTTGAGATATATAAACATACAAAAAAGGGATTTCAATCCAAAAATAGTTCATCTTCTAATACATTATCTGAACCGTCCATTTCTAGATTTTTAAGTGTTTATAGATATGTTTGATTGTCACCATTTATGGAACTTTACATTTCATAATTTTAGGTAACAATAGATTTTCATATCATCACAAGGCTTTGTGGTACAGAAACTGCATTTTCAGCACAGTTTTGAGGTGCACCTTACTTTAATAGTATAAGGTTGACTCCTGATACAAATCTCACCCAAGAAATAAATCTATTATTATTTTTTGCAAATAGTATTTCCTTTTTTCTTAAAAAAAAAAAGAGCTATTGTTAAGTTGTTTCATAAAGAGTCAGAAGTAGTCTATGTTTCTTTTAAGGGTGTGGTTTGTATTAGGCTAAAGTCCTATACAATTAAAGTAAGGTACACCTTCAAATAGTATATAGTTTCAATATTGGAAATCTTTGTGATAGCTTAAAAATTTATTTTTATTTATAATTATAAAATTTATAGCTTTCAAAATAGTATAGATCGAGTAGATTTATGAACACTTGAAAAACTAGAAAGTTGATGACCCAAAAATAGATTACAAGATGCACTATTTTCAAGGCTTGAAATTCTTTTTTTTTTCATGTTTATATATCTTGAGCTGGAGATGATCAACTTGAAGATTTTTTAGCATTGAAACGATTTCTTTTAGTGAATTTTTTAGGCGTGCCTTAATTTGAGTGTTTAGGGCATCGCCCTTATATAATCTTTTTCCTTCTTTTAAATGGCTTGGTGTGGATCTCTTCTCAGGTTTAATTAAGGATAAGTATTTGTTATTTTTTCATTTTTCGAACTTACTGTTATTTATAATGTCCCTGATAAATGATAGATATGGGAAAGTATATTAATTATGAACATTTTATGCTCTCACGAGAGTATGTTGTTCATTAACTCCCTTGGATAAAGACCCCATTTAGGATTAATTTAGGACAAAATTTGGGGATGTAACCCAAGGACTCAAATTTTTTGGGATGTGACCTGTTCAACCTATAAACTAACCTCAATAAATAAGATTTCTTAATTGTGCCCCTTATGCACTTTAAGTTTTTGTTTTTTTAGAAAAAAAGTGTGAAGATTGAATAGAGACCATCCAATTTAGTTTTAGAGCGTTACATATAAGTGCTAGAAATCTTAAATTTCAAACTTTTTTCTTTTAAGAATAATCATCTAGGGATTCTTAGTTGAACCAAAATCCAGTGTCTATCCATTTGGAGCAAAACAGGCTCAAATGAAATAATCTTCTATGATTTCCAGAATTTTCCAAGGTTTTATACTCATGTAACAGAAATGATATTTCAAATTTAGGGAGCAAATTTGCCATTTCTATGTTCTATCTATTTTAGATATGCAACTGTTTTAGGGAAATTTATTAAAAAGCCGGAACAAAGCCCTAGGCATTTATTGGTTAAAATGCCCAGCTTTCCATCAAAAGGGGAAACATATCCTCTTCAATTATCAAAATAGTTGCAAAGAAATGCACAAAAACCACTTATAGACTGGTTAAATTTGATCAAGATTGAATTCTTAGCCTTCATTAATCTTTCTCAGAAAGAAAACAATATTCAGAATCCGTGTACAATTAGACCAATCGAAGAAAAAACCAGTAAGAAAAAGAACAAAACAGAGGAACTTATTCTCATACAAGGTTCAGAGAGAGAGAGGGGAGCAGCTCAATGTTATAGAAGGAGCTTTACAGGTTCCAATAGCCCCTACCACTTGTAGCCGAAGGCGACCTCGTGTTCTCGAACCAGGCCCAGTATGTTGGGTTGCAATGTGCAGGCGACGCGGGCACTGGACGTGGCGTAAATGGCCCAGCTAACCCATTCCATAAACTCAAACACTGTAACAAAACCTTCCCTAGTTTCCCCTCACTAATTCCCTCATAAACCTTCTCTATCTCTTCACCAGGACTAATCTGCTTAGTCCCACTAAGCAGAGCAGTCCCCATCTCATTCCTCACAAACTTGTAAATAGGATAAGTTCTGCACTTCTTAATCCTGTTTGGCACTGGAAAGTCCCCTGCATCAAACCTCTCTCTGGCCTTTGGTATCTCCTCACTCAATCTAACCTTCAATTCTTCCTGAAAGACCCCAATTCTCTTGAATATGGAAAACCCATCAGCTTCTGTGTTACTCTTTAGAGATTTCTCAACTAAGACCTCACGAAGTTGAAGCATGAGAGCGTAAGATGGGTTCGATGGGTCATCCAAGTAAGAGAAAACCGGCTGGTGATCCACCACTTGAAGAAGCTCCTTCTCGTAGAATCTCGTATCTAACAAAGATCCGTTGTCCTCTTCCATGTATAGAGTTTTCTTAGCAGTTTGCAGCACCACATGCTTGACAATCTCTCTCATGTTCTCTTCTAAATGTCTCAGATCAACAGCTTGGCAAAGAGCCACCAAGAAAGTTGCAGACATGAGCTTGAGTATCTCTATGGCCTCAGCGCTCTTTCGAGCTGATATGAGGCCCAAAGAGTTCACATCTTGGTTGTGTTGCTCTGCACTTTGGACATGGGTAGTGACGGGGTTCGCCAGATACTGAAGCTCTGAGGTGTAAGCAGCCATGGCTATCTCCGCACCTTTCATCCCATAATCGAGGCTCGGGTTTGGGCCCCCACTCAAATTCGAAGGCAACCCATTGTTGTAATAGTCACATACTAATTCTGAGAATTGTGCAAACATGAGCTTACCAATTGCAGCAATGGCAATCCTCAGATTATCCATGGATACCCCAATTGGGGTGCCCTGAAAATTTCCTCCATGAAGAGCCATGTCTCTGTCTACATCGATCAATGGGTTGTCATTGACCGAGTTTATTTCCCTCTCTATCGAGTGCGTAGCCATCCGAATCACTTCTATCTGAGGGCCAAGCCATTGGGGTGAAGTCCTCAGAGCGTAACGATCCTGTTTAGGCTTAGTGAGCGGGTCCTTCTCGTGCTTGATCTTAGCTTCATTCATGTAATCACTCTGGTCAAGAAGAAACTCCATTACTGCAGCAGCTTCAATCTGGCCTGGATGGTGCTTCAATTGATGAGTGAGCGGGTCAGTGAACTCGGGCTTCCCCTGCATAACTTCACAGAACAGAGCAGAGAGAACCTCGGCCAAAAGAGCAAGCAAATTCGCATCGAAACAAACTGAAGAAGCCACAGCCGCACCCACAGCTGTCCCATTAACAAGCGCAAGCCCTTCCTTGGCCTGCAACTCAAATGGTGTTTCGATCCCTGATCTCTTCAAAGCCTCCAAAGCTGATATCTCCTCCCCATCTTTTGTCAAAACTCGAGAATTCGGCCGGTTTGTGAGAAGGCCGGCTATGTAAGAGAGAGGAACAAGGTCACCAGAGGCCGTAATAGTCCCACGAAGTGGAATTTTGGGAATGAGATTGAGGCTTATGAGCTTAGCAAGGGCTTCAAGGATTTCCCATCGTATACCCGAATAGCCTTGCATAAGTGTATTGGTCCTAACTGCCATGGATGCCCTTGCATAAGCAACAGGCAAATGCTCTTTACTGATGACACCCGCATTGAGGAAGCGAATGAGCTCGGTTTGGAGGTCAGTGGTCTTAGAGGTCCGGCGATGAGAGGTGGCCCCAAAGCCAGTGGTCACACCGTAGGTGTCGGTGCCCCTTGCTATGTTTTCACGCACCCAGTCTGCGCTCCTAGCCACCCTGGCTCGAGCAGTGTGCTCATCAAGGTTGACCGAGACACCAGTTTGGCGTGTGATGGCAGTCACTTGGGCTACAGTGAGAGAGGTTCCTTGGAGGGTTACAGTCTGGGCTTGGTTGAATTGGGAGATCATTCGGAACACTTCTTCAAAATGGCTGGTTTTGAAGGCCTCTGAGGCCTTTTCCCAATGAGGAGGGGGTGTTACAGTGGAATGGAGGCCTTTTGAGCAGATGGGTTCTCTGGTTTTGTTGGGTAAAGGGAGAGTTGGGGGCCTGCATGATTCAATTGATCTTGGAACAGAGTCTGCCATTTGGTTGGAGGAGGGGGAATTTGGTTTTCTTCTTTGAGAATCAAAAGCCTGAAACAGGCCACAGAGAGAGAGTGAGAGAGAGAGAGAGAGTTTGGTCTTCTGCTTGGAGGATCAAAAGCCTGAAACAGGCCAGAGAAAGAGAGAGAGAGAGGCTGATTCAAGATGGGAGTGTGAAGTTTTGAATGTGAAGAAGTGAAGGGCACACCGTGAGACTACACTGTGAAGTTTTGAATGTGGAGGGGGCTGATTTATAGGAAGGGAATGAATGGGGGTGCGTATAATTTTTGCAGAGTTTTTTCACGAGGCGGCTGGTCAATAATTTATGTGACCTATGCGCGGTTGGTGAAGTCATTGTCTTTTGCTACGAAGCAACCCATTTAGACCAAAATAATGCTACTCCTTCAACAGCATATACTATGCTCTTGTGGGAGTATACTGTACATATATTCCGTCAATCAGAAGACCTACTTGGTTGATTTTATCCATCTAAAATTTTGAAGACCACCTATCACTAGATGATTATTGATTGTTTCCAACAGAAAAAAATTTGAAGATTTCGTTTTCTAGCTCTTACATCTAATCCTTCAAAAATCCGACGGTCTATGTTCATTCCTGAGACAAAATTTTCTCAAGTTCATAAAGAGTGCAATTTGAAAATTTTTTTTTTATTAATGTTAATGTATAGGTTGAAGTTATTACATGCCCAAAATTTAAGGTCCTAAAATTTCTCCAAGATTGGTTTTATCTGAGGGAGTAAATAAACAGTATGCTCTTTCAATAGTCTAAAATCGTTTCGCTTCACTAACCCTTTTAATTTTTTTTGTTTTTTTTTTTACGAAGGCTGCCCACCAACCAAATAATTTAGGAGGGTGGCTGCATGGAACTGGGGGGCTGCTCCTTTTCTCTGTTTTTTTTATTCTTTTGTGAGTAGTGCTCTTATCTTGCTATTTCGTGCACAGGCCACAAGTGCCACCCTCTCTCTTATTTTTTTAAGGACATCTCTCTCCAATGCCACCGCACTTATTTCTAACTATGAGGACCTCTCTCTCTAGGGGTGACAACGGGTCAGGTCCGGCCGGACCCGGATCTAGATCGGAATAGTATTCAGGCCTTGGTTTTGGATTCGGACTCTACTTATCGGGTCCAAATGTTGGTATGGTTGGATCCATTGCCACCCTCACTATGACCTTATATTTCCTTCTTCTTTTTTTGCCTTTTTTTTAATGTCATGCACCCTCACTATGAGCTTACATTTCTTTTTGTGTTTTTACCTCTTTTATTTTTAACATCATATACTCATTTAACGGTCGGGTCGTGCCGTTAGATTTCAAATTGTCTAATTTATCGTTTGATAGCTAAAGATCACTACAAGTTCTTATTATATACAATTTTTAATACACCCAAACAAATCGGGCTTGAAGTATTTTATCTCCAACAGCTTACGGGTTGGGTCCAACGGACCCGGACCCAAATAGTGTCGGGTCCAAATATTGGACCTATACTTGGACCCATATTGGGTATACCGGCAGGTTCGGGGTCGGTTCTGGGTCCATTACCACCGGTATCTCTCTCTCTCTTTGTGTCAAAAGAAACGAAAAGGAGATGTATAAGCCCTAGGCCCGGTCCACCCTTAGGGCCATGGTGGCTTATTTCTATCCTATTATATTGAAAGCTCCAAAATTTTTGCATATCCAGGACAAGCACTTAAAGATCTTGAAAATGGATGGTCCAAGTAATGTGGTAAAAGATTATGACTTTAATATCATTTTTTTTTGTGGGTGTGGTTTCTATAAGGTTGCAACTTTAAATAATTCAATTAAGACGCACCTCCAAATTTTACATAACATGTAGTTTTGGTTTAAAAACTTCTTAAGATTATCTAAAAATCAGTTTTCATATCTAATTATAAAATTTTAAACTTCAAATATGCTTAAAAACAAGTAGATCTATAGATATATGAAAATCTTGAAAATGGACTGTCTAGATAATACGTTGCAAGATGTATTATTTCTTGGACTTAATTTTATTTATTTATTTTTTTATATTCGTACATTTCAATGTCAAGATGATCAATTAGAGGGTTTTTCAACACTAAAACAATATTTTTCGATGGATTTTTCAGATGCATCTTTAATTCTACATTTTAAGGTTGCAACCTTACATAAACTTTATCATTTTTTATTTATATACAAACATCTTGAAGTGGAGATAATTAATGCAACAATGCCAGGGCCAAAATAATCAATGTAAGAGTTTTCCAGCACCGAATTAAGCTTTTCCAGTGGATTTTACAGGGTGCCCCTGACAAACTTTTCCCTTAAATGTCAATTTTTATTTATGGCACATGGCATTTTACACAAGAAGACATTTACACGAGTGATATATGGAAGGCTTCATGCCTGACATTACAATGATAACATAATGCAGTGGCCATGACGTGTTGTGCAAATTAGGGTTAGGGTTTTTTTTTTTAACAGCAAATTAATGGTTAGGGGCAAAGGTTGTGATTCCCGGAAGGTGAGCTAACTCCGAAATCCTGTCCCCTGTTAAGATTATTTGTGAATCACAGGTCTGATAAGATCGTCTTATCTCAACCCACATTCACAAAGAGCCCTAAAAAATTACCAGTTGCACCATATCAAAACAGCACACCTCAGGTTGGATGTGGCCCTAATTCCATATTCGGCCTATACTATATCTGAGACCATATAGAGAGATTGGGTGACAATCCAAATATACACGACAGGAGCTTTTCAATTCAATCTAGACTATCGATCGGATCCTAGAATTCTTTCTTGTATCACTCATATGAACCTTACGCCTTCGTGAAATTCAGAGAACAGGAAGATAACAAACATAGATATCACTACTCATTCAAGAGCCTAATGGAAAGAGGTCTTGTACAAAATGAAAAAGATGCCGCATATTCCTTCACAAACCGCTGCATATTCCTTTATCACTGTCTTAAGTCCTCATCTTAGGAGTCAGCTCCATAAACTATCGGTTCAACGGCAAGTCCAACGAAGACTCGCCGGCACAAATGCACCGAAATAGAAGACTTGAATTTCAACTTCAGAGCAGGTCATCCAACAAAGCATCAAAAGCTTCTTTTACCAAAGAGCAACGCGATCGATTTGCTCATGCAGAACGATTAAACACATACCAAAAATGTAACTGCAATTGAACCATGTAAGAACATTTGAGACAGTGTGGTTGCCAATTTAAAACTATGCCACAAATGTTTCTTCTGATCCTTAAAGTAAGAACCGGGTTCTTAAAATACTCCAGCTATCGACATTCTTCTAAGTTGAAATTTATATCCGGTTCCTAAAATACTCCAGCTGTCGACATTTTTCTAAGATGAAATTGCATATCCCCTGATTACTGCTATAGACTATATGTATCTGATTGTAAGAAACTAAAGCTATCATCTAGTTTAACTAGATTAGGACCCAAATTGTGACTACAAACTGCAACACACCCCTCTATTCAAATGGAATCTAAACTTCCACATGTATTCTCTTTACAATTGAGAGACATGCCTCTCTATTCAAATAGGACCAGAACTTACATGCACATACGCATACTCCATTACTATTTTACAATGGAGAGATGCATTAATTCACAATGGATTAATAACACCAAATTACAAAGGAGAATTATTTACACACTTATCCACATGACCTTGCGTATCAGGAAGAAATAACATAGAGAAAGAGGTGCAGGGCTGCAAAACCATCAAGTTGAACATATGGATTATACAAACATCAGTAAAATTAATTTATGAATTCGGTGATTAGTTCGAACATATACAAGGACAAAACGGAAAGCAATACTTTTCACTTTTAAGAAATGTCATTGATGCCAATTCAGAGCTCAAGAAACTTCAATCCCGAACAAACATCATATTTCAATTTCTCAAGTACGAGAACAAAGCCAACAACAAATGGAAGTGCTCTTACCTTACAGAAAAAGACATAAAGCATCTATGAGAAAGCCAAATCAGCACGCATTCATAAGAAGATTTTGACACAGCAATACACACCATTTCGATACTCTCATAAAGATGTTTTAACATAAAACAAAATAAAATAAAATAAAATAAAATAAAATAAAAAAATAAAAACAAAGAAACTTAACATCCCTATATGATAGAAGTCCAATTGAAAACACACTCAACAAAAAAGGAACACCAAACTGGATACCCTGACACATGGAACTCGTCCATGGAGGACAGAATCATTGAGAGCCCAGGTTTAAAATCAAGAAGTTGGCTTTTGAGGTCCTACAAAGTTCTCAGATGCCCTGGTATGTATCTTAGGCCTTCTTAGATATGAAAAAGTAGGCCTACAGGTAAATGCCAAAGAGAAGACTAGGGGCCACTCTGAGGTGAGCTGCGGAACCGATCAACTGCAGTCCTACACTTCAAGAGTGTCGCCGTAAATGGAAAAATTCTAAGTATGGAATTATCAGCAAGTTTGGAATCCCAACGGAATTTCCAGTTAATATCTCTTTTACTACTATTGCTGTCGTACGCTAAGACCTCAATGCAATTCCGCACAATTCGGGCGATTAACAGGGATCTGCAGTGACTGACAATACCCAAATTATAATTGTGAGGATATCTATCTCTTCTATAGAATTTTTTCTCGAGGGACAGTTCCATGACTTTCTCCCACATTGTCTCGGCCAGACCCCATATTATCAATTGGCCTCGTTTCGGGCCTTGAACAAGGCACAACCGTCCCTCCCACTCCAACAAGCTGCACTGAAATCCTGAGACCCCTGAAGGCATGGGAATATGTTTCCATTCTTCAGTCTCCATATTAAAAGAGAGCACATCATACTCTTCCGTCTGGTACAACATGTTGTGTAGAGTCAAGAACCACCCTGAATATGTGACTCCCCACGTTCCTGGGGCAATGGTTGTCCAGTATCCAATTTCCGAGCTGAACATGCAGAGCCATCTGCTGCTAGTACCTACATGCCAGAACCAAACGAAAACCTTGAAGTTGTAGCTTACTGGATCAAAATAAAACCCTTGAATATCAAAGTCATGATTGTTGATCGGTGGGAGGACGATGTATTCTTGGCTAATGGGGTTGCAAACAAAAATATCTTTGAAATCGTCCTCTGTTCTATAACACATCATGCCATGACTACAAACCATTTGCTTCACACATCCCTCCATTCTGTAAAGCTCTAGTTTTCTTAAGGCTACTTTCGCAGTTGGTAG